CTTCCCAATCTGCTTATCGTATCATTCCATTACTCTCTGTAAAGTAATAGCAGTTCTCATCCACAGTGTTGCTATGAAAATTAATTGAGAGGATTATTTACATGTGACTTTTTAAAGTGCTCAAGAAAAGTGTTAAGTAAACACTAATTTTTTTTAAGCAGGTTTATTTAGAAGGAGTTTATGCTGGGATTTAAGTCAACTGTCTGGAGGATAAATGTGCATTAGATATTTGCATGTAATAACAAATGTTCAAGCCATAAAATATTGAAATAAAATGAAAACGTAACTCTTCTAACAACTTTAATGGAGATATTGACATAAATACGGCCAGTTAAAAGAAATTCAGTTAAGGTGGCTTGCACATGTGAGGGAATTTTTTTAAGATTTTTTTCCTGCTTTAGCAAATGTATTTTATAGATCTCTGTATATATCATTAAAATAAGAAGGTGGATAGAAATAAAAGGGAAAGAAAGAATGAAAAAAGAAGGCCAAAGTGGACATTTGGAAAGCCAGATGGGTCTGCGTAGTGGACTCGAGGCACAAATGAACACTTTGGAGAAGGCAGTGGGGTGTCATTCTTTGGTGACTGCTTTGGGCCCAGTGCTCTTTTGTGACAGCTGCCTGGGCTTGTTAAAAGTAGAGGGTGGAGAGCATGAGAGGAGTAATAAATGATTACATCTCTCCTCAGCAGATATCCAGGCACATGTCTAAGGTTGAGTTAAAAGATGTCCTCCTGCAAGTGTCACCAAGGTTGGGGGAGGCGGGTAGCAGGAGAGCTGGCTTCACGGCCAGGGTGGGACTTGCACTGGACCTGGAAAGAATATGCAGTAGCCAGTTGGTTCCCTGCCACCAGTCTTCTCTGCTCCATCCTTCACGTTGCCAAATTATTTTTCCAAAAAAAAAAAAAAAGAAAGAAAGAAAACACCTCTGTAACACCTTGTTTCATACAAAACAAAACTTTTTAAATTTTGATGTCCTAGTTGCCTTTGCATAAAAATTCCAAAATTTGAATTTTGTGTAGCCCTTTATCATCCAGCTTGACCTCCTTATGGTGCCTTGGTTCTCACTCTCCCCTCCCTACTTCTGTCCACCCTGCTGTCAACCCTTTGCTTCCATCTTGAACAGTCCACCCTTTCCACTCACCCACCCTCACGTCTTTCCTCAACATATAAATTAATCTGCCTGCAAGCCTTCCACCTGCAAGCCTTCCACCATCACCTGTAAACTCCTGCTTAATCCTTTAAGACCCACTCGGGTCTTGACCCTATTAGCTTTTCGGCTATCTACTGATTTAATTCAGACCCCCAGCATATATTTATGTGTGTGTGTCCACCATTGTGTTAGGACTTGAGGGTTCAAGATGAATAATGCCCAATTCTTGCCAACAGTTACTTCGGTGCTTCTTTTCTTTTTTGCTCTCATAGCAGTGTGTTCAGATCCCTCCCTCCCCCACATCACCTAAATGTTTCGTTTTAATATTTCTGTTAACATAACCTTTTTTCCTGCATAAGTTAAAATTCTTTGACAGCAAATATCCAGATTAATTTTGTATGAAATGTACTCACAACATTAAATATTTTTGCCGAATGGAAAAAAATGTATATGTGTGTGCAGTATATAGTGCAGCATATCTTCATGGAGGAAAAGTGGTTTGGGGAAGAAGGTTACAAGCGGCACTATAAAAATCTTTCCGTTTTTTTACATTTAGTAAAATAATAGAGTATAGTAAGTAAATTATAGGTATATAATTGGTTGTTAATATTAGGTACTATGCAGTTGACTTTAATTTTTATCACCTTTCTCTTGGTTAGTTTTCCTGAATTCCCTGACGCTGCATTTTATGTTCTATATGTTTTCATAGATACTGTCCTTACCTTTTTTATTTATTGTTATGTTGCACTTACCGCTTTACTGATTTGTTTTCCAACTGGATTGTAAGCTTTCTGAAAGCAGAGCCTGTCTGAGTCATTCATCAGACAGGCTCTGATGACAGACTGTTATTGAGAATAATAGTCATTTAATAGTATTTGCTTATGAAATATCTTCCCTTGCTTAAAAGAATATTTTCAAGTAAATACTTATACATTCACTTTGTTTTGTTTAGGATAATTTGCAACTCCCCTCCCCCCTTTCTTTTGACCCTCTAATGTTTAATGAATATCTCACTGCCCTCACCAGCTCCCTGACCATAATCAATTCAGTGGAGACACAAAGTAACTCAGATTCTTGACATTTTGGGGAAAATCTTTGGGCAGTTTGTTTTGTCCAGCCAACATAGCCCTGTAAGCACTTCTCAGTACCCCCCACCCCAGTACACAGACTGTATTACTACCTTAGCTCTACTCACAACTCTGGCAGTGGTCTGGTCCCCTCTTTGTAATACAGCCCCCTCGCCCCCGCAAAGATGAGGGATTTCGTTCTGATGGTAGCAGTTCAGTTTCTTTCTTCTCCCAAAGCTCCATTGCGATCTTCAGCTGGTTTGCCTTTTTTAAAACCTCTTCTTCCTAACGCCAAACTCCCTCTTCTGTCTTCCTGTCTCCAGTGGAGTGGTTGCCTTTACCTAAAGGAGAAGAAAGAGGTACAGGGATAGAAAATTGCATGTATAAGAATTTTTAATGAAAGAGAGATGCTAATAAGTAAAGCTTGTGGCAATAGTAGATGGTAGATAAGTTACTAAATCCCGTTAGGCTTTCTTCTTTGCTCACACACTGATAATGAGGTTTCTAATGAGAGGGATCTATGTCTGGCTTGTTAGTGATCTCTTGTGATTTTTTTAATCTCAGGTCACAAGTTGTTTGCTCATTGAATGAGAAGATAAAAATAGGTGATTGTGTTCTTAGAGCTGTGGCCTAGCTTTCAAATTCATACTTATTTGGAATACTTTTTAAAATCAATTGTTTTCGGGCGCCTGGGTGGCTCAGTCGGTTAAGCGACTGCCTTCGGCTCAGGTCATGATCCTGGAGTCCTGGGATCGAGTCCCACATCGGGCTCCCTGCTCAGCAGGGAGTCTCCTTCTCCCCCTGACCCTCCCCACTCTCATGCTCTCTCTATCTCATTCTCTCTCTCAAATAAATAAATAAAATCTTTAAAAAAATAATCAAATAAATAAATAAAATCTTAAAAAAAAAAAAAAGAGTGGGACGCTCAACTGACTAAGCTGCCCTGGCGCCCCCATCATGAACTCTTTTTGTAACTCACTGCAGTCAGTTAACCTGTTCGGCTTTGTTTGCTCATTTGTAAAATGACATGACTAGACTACGGTTCATTTTAAACTGGGAGCTATTTCATTCTGTCACTATATACTCTACGTTGATTATCTTCTTAGGGCTTGTCTCTTTTCTTTCCTATTAATTTGAAGTTCTTCTCTAGAAGTAACATAAACACAGTTGGGAATAGGAAGGGAAGCATTGACTATTCTCCTTTTTCTCTCCATTAAAGAGAACAAGGTTCTCTAAGACTCATGAAATGAATAAATGGTCAAGTAATCATTAAAACAATCACACAGCCATTATAGTCATTTCTGGGAGCACATGGAGGATTTCCTAAATCCTGTGGATTGGACACTGGCAAAAATAGGGCTTCCCTTTCCATCAGGCATTGTGAACCTGGGGTCCATGATAGAATCCAAGGAGTTCAAAAACTTGTGTAGGAAAAAGGAAAAAAATATTATCTTTATTTCACTAACCTCTTAAATTTGTTTTCTTCAATTATAGATGTAGGCAATAACCAGGGTAGTAATAGCAGTTATTGTTTGTTACTTTCTCACCAATACAAATCAGTTTCTTATCACAGTACAGTTATTTCAGATATCTCAAAATACCACTTACGCTCTTCACCATTTTGAAGTTATGCGAGCTTATTCGCTTACTGTGCTAGTTCCTGTTATTTCACGCAAGGAAGCACATGTTATAACTATATACACACAGATATAAAACTACTGCTCTATAACCAAGTTGGTTTTAATATTTTTGATAACTATATGTCAACATAATTTCCTTTGTAATCCTATATATTTCATTTTATGCGTTTAAAAACGCTGCTGAGAAGGGGTCCCGAAGCTTCACCAGATTGCCAAAAGAGTCTTCGGCGCGGACGAAAAGGCTAAGGATTTCTCAGGCGTGAATACAGACATACAGATCATTAAAGAACCACTAGTGCGGCATGGAGCAATTGAGTCACTGTGAGTCTGAAAAACTGAAAATTATGGCTCGATAATTGAGTGAGCCTTAAAGGAACAACCAGAAACTTCAATTTAAAGGCCAAAAAAAAAAAATTTTAGAAATCTTGGAAGTTAAAGATAAGGAAGCAATGAGGACAGGAGGGGCCCACTTCAGCCTCCTGCTTTGTTACCGCCTACGAGGCCAACTGAACGCCCAAGAACCCACTTCCTGTTGTCTGAAGCGCTGGTCTCTCCCCACCCTATTCCTCCTAGGCCTGGCCGCGATCAAAGGGGTACACAGGAAGACAGGCAGGGAAACCCAAACCCGCCACGACTGACTCAAAAATCTGCCTCTCAAAAATCTACGTCCGGGCAAATTGCCGATATCCCACGACTCCAGAGGGTTTAGCGTTCGAGAGTCGCCTCCCTTAAGTCGGGTCAGGGGGGGGCTCCTGCAGCAGACGACCCAAAACTTTCGTCCACGACTTCAAGTTCGCAAACCATCACTTGCCCGGAGCGAGTTCCAGCTACTCCATGCTGGCGGCTCATTTCCTTCCCTGTTCCTCGGAGAGTGCCTCTCCCGGGACACATGGACCCTTCACTCCGAGCCCAGTCCTCTCCTAAAAATCCCAAGAGTCGGTCTCTTTAAGACCCCTAGGTTCGAGAACCAAAATCTCCACCAGGATATTCAGACTCCGCCTCCTACACTGCGGCCCGGGCAACACTCCGGCCAAGCTCCTGAGAGCGGCGCCTTTGGCTTACGTAGCTGTACGTGATTGGTCGCCTCCCCCCGGCGGGCCGGCATTGGTCGGCGTCCGGCCCCGCCCCTCGCCCCCGCCCAGGCCCGCGGCTGCCCCGGTGTCCTCGCGCCGCTCGTCCGCGCGCAACCTGGCAGTTTGCCTCTTCCTCGTCCTCCAGCCTGCGTTCATGGCCACCGCGGCGGCCGAGGAGCCCTTCCCCTTCCACGGCCTCCTGCCCAAGAAAGAGACCGGGGCCGCCTCCTTCCTCTGTCGCTACCCGGAGTATGACGGGCGGGGGGTGCTCATCGCCGTCCTGGACACGGGGGTCGACCCCGGGGCTCCGGGCATGCAGGTTACAACTGATGGAAAACCAAAAATCATTGATATCATTGATACCACAGGAAGTGGTGATGTGAATACTGCTACAGTGGTGGAGCCCAAAGATGGCGAGGTTGTCGGTCTTTCAGGAAGAGCACTCAAGGTTAGAACTTTTATCTTTTTATCGAATTTTTTTTTCCTTTTTTTTTATACTGTTGCCTCAAAGCATCTAATGGTTTTAGTTTACATTTGGTGGTAGGTTATTAGTTACCTCTCTTGCTCTTTAATAGATTACCCCAAAACTTCATGGTTTAAGATAACAAACATTTATCATCTCACAGTTTCTGTGAGTCCATAATCTGGGTGTGACTTAGCTGGGTGCCTCTTGTTTAAGATCTCTCCTGAGCTTGCCGTTGGCCACTTCTGTGGTTTCATCTGAAGGCTCAGCCTGAGTGGGGAAGGGGAGTCTGTTCCAAGCTCGCTCAGGTACTTACTGACAGGCTTCGGTTCCTCTCCATGGGGCTGTGTCACACCATTCAGCTGGCTTCCCCCTGGGAGAGTAATCCAAGAGAGAGTGCCCAGGATGGAGGCCATGGTCTTTTCACAAATTAATCTTGGAATTGACATCCCATCACATCTGCCATTTTGTTTTCAGTAGAAATGAGCCATGAAATCCAGCACATGCTTAAGAGGAAGGGGATTTTACCGAGAGCATGAATACCAGGAGGTGGGGGTCATTAGGGGCCGTCTTAGAAAAATTCAGTGTTTTGTTTGTTTGTTTGATAGTGAGCTTAGAATTGGGGTATATTTTTCAATGTGATTGCCAAATTCTAAAAATTTTAAGTTTTGGATAGAAAGGCAGGAAAAGTGACCAGATTGTAGTTTTGCCTTCATCTTTTCCTGTCCCTTCTGAGAACTTGGAATATGAAATATTTAGGCTTTAATAATTGTGTACTTAAGTGACTGGCTTTGTGTTACTCTATGTACTTGGTAGAAAGACCTGGGTAGAAAGTTAAGCTAACATGAAAAATGATGAGAATACTGAAAGCAGTTGATGAGATGTTAGCTAGTGAGCTTGTTAGATGTCAGGAATTTTATTGTGATTCAGTACTCTTTATCGTTTAAACCAATAAGCAGAATGAGTTTGGAAGATGAATTTGTGTTTATCTGCGTCTAAAGAGCTATATGGAACTTTACCCACCTTTTACCATCTATCTGAATCATGTTTAGGCGCTGTCTTCTGGCTAAGATTGTTGTGGCAATATATTAGTTTTCTGTGCTACTGAGTTAACACAAACTTAGCAGCTTAAAGCCACATACATTCCTGCATTTATTATCTTACTGTTTCCGTGGGTCAGGAATCTGGCTTTTCGTGGCTCTCTGCTCGTGTCTCACAAGACTGTAATCAGGTGTTGGTTGGAACCTGGTCTTATCTGAGGCTCAGGATCCTCTTCCAAGTTCACGTGGGTGTTGGAAGAATTCATTTTTCTTGCACCTCTAGAGCTCACAACAGCTTGCTTTAAAGCCAGCAGGAGAGTCTCTTTGACCTTTGGGATAGCCCCAGTCTCTCTTTTAAGGAGCTCACCTGATGAGGTCAGGTCCACCAGGGTCATGTCCTTTTTTATTAAATCGGTCACCTGATTAGAGACCTTAATTGTATCTGCAAAATCCCTTCACAATAGTCAGACCCTGCCTTCACTGAGGGGAGAGGACTATACAAGGGCATGGGTTATCTTTAGAATCTGCCTACCCCAGGCAGACAGCAGGCATGAACATCCAGGTTTTATGGACTGAATTGTTTGTATGACCCCATAAGTCATATGTTGAAGCTCTCGCACCCGATTTCATGGTATTTGGAGATGGTGTTAGGGTTGGATGAGGTCATGAGGGTGAGGCCCTCATGAGGGGATTAGTCTATGCTTGCTTTTTCCCTGCCATGTGAGGACTCAGAAAGCTGTGCCTGCAAGTCAGGAAGAGTCTCCCCAGAACCTGACCATGCTGGCACCCTAATCTCATGCCCCCAGCCTTCACACTTGTGAGAAAATAAATTCCTGGGGTCTGTGGTGTTTTCTTAGGGGACCCAAGCGAAGACAGTGTGGGCCTTAAAAAAAAAGAAAAAGATTGTAAACTGGAGGGAAATGAGTTTCTGCACGTCTGAATTACTCTAAGGTTTTGCCTGTCTTCCCAAGTCAGCCTTGTTAGAGGATATTTCAGAGAGACACATGGGATTCCTGTGAGTTTACATTGTTCTGGGAAACTAGGGAACACTCCTAGTAAGTCCTGCAGATTTAGAATCCTGTAGTGTCCTCAGTTGTTTATTTTAAATAGCTGTAGTAGCCCATGCTTTAGATAAACCACATGGGCTGATCGCATCACTGCTGCTCAAAGGTAGAATTACATATACATATACAGGCTGTGAACTAAGATCAGAAAATTGATAGATATTTAAATCTTTTCTCAATTTGGTGACATACTTCTTTAGCTCTACTGTTAAGTATTCTCAGCCCATCAATATAGTGGGAGGTTTTAATTTAAGTTTTAATTGTATTCAGCATGTCTTCATAGTTTAAAAAGACAACTACTTCTTCAAGGCTTCTAACAGGAAAAACTAAGCCATACCTCTCCCTTTGACCAACAGTTCCCACTCACCAAGAGATAAAGTTTTGGTATCTTGACATTATCTTCGGGGTTTTAAGTAACATACTAACTCTTTTTATTTCTTGAGTTTTTATGTGGTTTGAGACTTTATCTGTGGAAATAGCACTGTGGAAGAAGAGAGTTTACCTTTCAGGCCCTTCATTTTTGAGTTGTCTGGTGGTGTCTTGGGTTACTTTCTCCCACTGTTTTTGCTGTTCTTTTATTTAGAACTCCTGTTAATTGGACAGTGTACCTCTTGAATTGATCTTCCAATTTTCTTACGTTTTTCCACCTTTTCTTCATTGCTTTTGTTTGCTTTTTTCCTTCCTGAAAGATTTCTAAGATTTCTCAACATTCTTTTCTAGCCCTCTCTTGAATTTTGTTAAATTTTGCCTATTATTTTTAAATGCAATTCTGTTCGTGTTCACTCAGCATATTTTTGTGTCATGTATGCAACATTTTATCTGTGAGAATATTGTCTAAAAATTTTTTTTCTAGTGGTTTCTTCTTTTTACTCACCTTCCTCTTCCTCCTATTCTCCTTTCCCCTTTCCTTGCTCTCCCCTTTTTCTTTACCTCTTCCCTTTCTCCTCCTTCTCTTCACCTCCTCCTTCCTCTGCCTCTCCTCCTTCCTTGTGCTTTGCTTTCTACCTGAGAGTTTTCCCAAGGTATCTAGCTATCCTGGCTGTCCCTTGGTTAGTAGCAAGGCACATAAAGGTGATGGAAGTGCTCTCTGCTTGTGCACGGTCTTGGGATGAGAGCAGTCGTGCTGTCATGGTGGACCCAAAGGTGGCAGTTTATGGCATACCTTTTCCCATTGGGATGCTCAGTTATCTCCAAGAGAACCTTAACATGTTTGGCCTGGGCTTGGAGGGGAGAGCGAGAGAGAAGCCTGGCTGTCTGTGTTCAGGGGCTCACACCTAGTGTCCAGGGAGATCTCTTGCAGGGTCTTCTCTCTGTCTCACCTCTCCCCTCTGCTATGTGAACTTCTCCAGAAAGCTGACATTTCAGTGTCTCTCTGGTTCCATGTCCAGTTGCCTGGCCGGTCAGGTTTGGGCAGGATATGGGATGGGCAGCAGGAGTCTGATTGTTCCGCATACAGACTTTCCACCAGTCTTCTTGGTGTTAGCTCCCTTCTCCATCAGAACACAGAACGTACCCACATAGGTGTTCAGACAATTTTTTTTCAAGGATGTGCTGATGTTCAGATATTTTACAGCGGTCATGAAAAAGAAGAATGTTACCAGTTGCTGGGATTCTGGCTAGCTGGATCTCTCAGAACTCATGAGCACACAGTTTTCAGACAGCAACATAGGAAAGTGTTCAGGTTTCTTTGACTTAACCATGCTTTAAGATGAATTAAATATCTGTATTTCAGCTTCTTCAAAATAGCCTATAAACTGCTGGTGGTTAATGTCTTACTCTTCTCCCAGTTTAAGATGAACTACTAGTTAAGTGCTTTGAACATTCCAGTAATCTCATTCTCTAAGGAGTCTATTCATAGGCCTTCTCGAGAAACTAGTGGTGAGTTAACTTTGGCCAGTGACACTCCCATGAGCAGGCAGAAGCAAAAAAGTGAACAGAAGTTTAAAATCTTTATGGTGAAGTGTACAGACATAAAGGAAAATGCATAAAACACATACGTACATCTTGATGAATAAAAAGTGAATGCCTTTTTATCCACTACCCAGATGAGACAAAGAATATTGCCATACCTCAGAGGCTTCCTGTGTTCTCCCAGATCACAACCTACTTTGACTTTTGTGATAATTATTTCTGTGCTTTGCTTTATAGGTTTACCAACTCTGTGTGGATACCTGAAATAAATTGTTAGTTTTGCCTATTTGTGAACTTTATATGAATGACTTCATTTATGTATCATTTTACATCAGGTATTTGCAAGATTCTTCCCATTCAGCCATGATGTTGCATGTAGCAGTGATTTTTTAAAATTTCATTGCTGTGCAAGATGTCATGGTTTGTATGTGCCCCATTCTGTCCACTCTGCTGCTGATGAACAGTTGTTTCCAGTTTGAGAGTTACTAACAGCTCTTTAGAGGACATTCTTGTGTACATATCTTGTGCACATGTGTATAGATAATTCCAGGATGTGTACCTAGGAGTGGAATTGCTGAATCGTAGAGATACGACTTGACCAGGTGATGCCAAACAGATTTTCCAAGTATTTGTACTAAAATGCATTTCCACTAGCAGTGTATAAGAATTTTAATAGTTTCACACCTAACACTTCGTATTCTTAAGGCTTTTTAATCTTTGCAAATATGCTGGGAATCTGGGTGTATCATGTAGTTTTAATTTGCATTTTTTAAATTACCAATAAGATTGAGCTGCTTTTCCTATGTTGATTAGACATTTGGATTTCCTCTTTCGTAAAGTGCCTGTTCAAGTCCGTTTGCTCTCTTTGTCCCCCTACCGAGTTGTCTTGTTTCTCACTAATTTGTAGGATTCCATTACACATTCTAAGTACCTGTCCTCTGATGGGATGTCTCTGGTGTCTTTTCCCATTCTGTATATCTATTTCACTTCCCTTGTGGTGTCTTTTGATGAGTAAAAGTTCTTAAATTTAACGTATTTGGGTATTAGTCTTTGCCTTTTTGCTTAGGACTTTTCATGTCTTAAGACATTCTTCCTGACCCCAAGACCCTGAAGATATGCTCCTCTGTCATTTTCTAAAAACTTGTACCATATTTCATTTCATGTTCTAGAATTCACTGGAATTGATTTTAGGCTTAATTCAAAACGGATCCTGGATCCTCTTTTCCATCTGAAGACCAGTTGCCCCAACACCAATTATTAAAATTCCATAATCTCCCCATAAATTTTCAGTGCTGCCTTTTACTTTGCAACCTTTAAAATGGGGATGATACAGCTTCTGAGTATCATTTCCAGTTCTCTGTGTCCTTTGGGTGTTTTTTTTTCCTCCTTTTCCTTATTCTAATTTTAGTAGACATTTGGAAGGGAGCATGGTGCTTTTTAAAATTCTGCTACATTCAACTTGAAGTTGGTTTTTAAATCATCAATATTTATTCTTACATATAAAAAAAAGTTAAGTCCAGGCATAGTGAATGACTTGGCCAAATTTGGCCCCATATTTAGATGCAGTGGTAGCTAAAGGAGTGTACAGGCTTTACCGTGAAGCTGACAAGGCTGAAACATAGTTTGAGGCAAAAAAAAAAAAAATTACTGCGTGGAACATTAACACTCAGGATGACATTTGGTTTGTTAAGAAAATGTTCAATTCGTTAGGCATCCCCTCTTTAAAAGAATCAAGGAAAAGAGATGTAATTAGTAATCAAAGAGATCCGTTTCTCATATGAAAATCCATCTTATTCCATTGTAGTATTAACCTTAAAAATAAAACTCAGTTATTTTACCAGCAAAAGTGGGTTTATTCAGGAATAGCAGAGAATGGCAGTCTGGAGCAAGCAGCCTGTGGCAAAGTCATAGGCAAGTCCCTACCCAGAACAAAGGAGAGGACCACTGTTTTATATAGAGGAAAAGGGGATGGTGGAAGAGCTGTTACAATCAGGAAGCCCATTGGAGTAAACTGCCTCCCGCTCGGGTGGTAATGTAGCGTGGGCATGCAAGGTCCCTCTCTTCCTCTTGGGTCTGCAACTGATGAGTGGTAGGGCGTGAGAGCGCCCCCTGCTGGCCTCCTGACTCCATTCTAACCAAGTTTTCTTTTTATTAATTTTCACAGTAGTTACCAGGTAATAAAACCATTTTAAAGATACCCACTTAAAACGGCCAAAATATAAAGCTTTGATTCTTAAAAAAAAAAAAAAACTGAAAATAAGTTCGTGTGTATGAAATACTCAAATAGGCAAAATGACATATTCCATAATTGCCTCATAGTAAAATTACTCAAATTTGGTTAACGCTAGATAGCAGAACCGTGATTATAACATTTATTTTATGATTTTCCTTAGTTTAATTTTTTGTAACTAACCAGTCTGCCTTTACTGTGAGGAAAATACATAATAGTGATTTGAGAAGTATCTGGTTGTGTGGACCCTGCAGATTTTTATCTCATTTATAATTAAATATACATTATGTCTCGTGGATTATTTTCATTGTATTACATATATTGTAAGTAACTGTGGTTAAATATGTGTTAGCACCTGTTTACCTTGCAGTTATTTTAATCAGTTTTTCCGTTTAATCCTTCGGCATTTCACAGCCTTTTAAAATCTCCTTGTATAGGGGCGCCTGGGTGGCTCAGTCGTTAGGCGTCTGCCTTCGGCTCAGGTCATGATCCAGGGTCCTGGGATCGAGCCCCGCATCAGGCTCCCTGCTCCACGGGAAGCCTGCTTCTCCCTCTCCCACTCCCCCCTGCTTGTGTTCACTCTCTCGCTGTCAATCTGTCAAATAAATAAATAAAATCTTTAAAAAAATAAAATAAAATCTCCTTGTACAAAGAATTTGCCACTAGCCTAGGGTTACAAAATCTGTGTAGTGGGACACCTATGATGAAATAGTTTTTGAATGTCCCAGCTAGTGACTGGGACAACCTTTTTGTTGTTGCAACACTGTATTGTTATGTCACAGGCTATACAGGGACGCTAGAGTTAAGAATCCCTGTTCTCTAAAAGAGGGTGGTAGGTTTTGAATGAAAAGGACTAGTTTATATGCCAACATATTTGAAATTTCACATACTCCAAACGTCCATTTGATTCAGAAGTGATTACTGATACAGGCAGGCTTTTAAAAAATCAGTAGATCTTTGAAGTTCTGTGAATGGTGTTTTTTTCTCTATTTAGTTGTGAGAAAATTTCATCCAAAAGTTTCTTACCTGGGGAATAATTTGATGAGGGACATGGAGGTGAGCCAGTTAAAGACACTGCACAAGTGAGAATTGATGAGTCAGCCAAGTCTGAGTGGTTGATCTTTCAACCTCATGTTTTATACACATTTGAAAGCTGTTTTTAATGATCGTGGGTCCTGTGATTACAAAGAGTGTGAATATTCCACATTTTCTTGATGGATATTTGAAGTTGATTGATGTTCAGTGCATCTGTGCAAATCAGAAGGTAGGGATTATTTTCTTCCTTTTACACAGTAGGGACCTATGGGTCCCGACCTCTGGTTAGTGGTAGAGTTTGGATTCACAGCCAGGTTTACCTAAGTCACATATTCTTTAACTGAATTTTTTGGTCTCCATGATAGAGCTAGATTTTAGCTTTCTTTTCACCCTTCCTGTGGTTTAGGCAAGCAGTTTGATTTCTTTTTGTTTCTTTGCTTTTTCTGTTTGTACACTGGGCATGCTCTTTACATCATTCTGTTAATTAGAAGCTTTAAAATACTTTGAGATATTTGGAAAGACTATTATGTTATATATAATTAACATGATTTTATAGAACCTTTTTCTTCAAGAGCTATTTTAAGTATCTAGGGATTATCCCTGTTGATTGTAGAGAGTGCATTTCTTAACAGGAAATATAAGCGTCGTCAAGAGGATCTATTAAAAAAAAAAAAGAGGGTCTGTAAACCGCTTCCCCTCCCCCCTAGTTTGGCAGTAGGTCTGAGGCAAGGGAGAGGTGATATGTCCTTGATGTTTGAGAACTAAAGATTGTAGTAGTTTAATGAGGTAGTGTATGTTGAAAGCACTTTATAAACTATGAAGCATTGTGTAAATGAAAGGTACCCCAGGTAACCATCTTATTTAGGGATAAGAAGAAAAGCCAGACAGATACTAAGTGGCACCTTAGAATATTAGAAATACTGCTCTAATACGCAACCTTGCTTATCCAAGTTGAGCCATCAGAATAGAAGTGAAGTAACCGTTTTCCCTAGTATTAAATCATTGGAATTGGGAAGCATTTAGTGAGTTAACAATTTACTTTTTTTCTATAGATTCCTGTGAGCTGGACAAATCCCTCAGGCAAATATCATATTGGCATCAAAAATGGCTATGATTTCTATCCAAAGGCACTCAAAGAAAGGATACAGGTAATGTACAGTCTAGAATCAATGACTTCTTCCTCAAATTTGTTTCCTACTGAAGAAAAAAATTTTTCGTAAGATCCCGTGAACTCTTAATTATTTTGGAGGCTGGGAGGCTTTCAGACAATGACTGCTTCAAGGTTCTGTTCAGTGGAATGTTAGCTATTTAAAGTCACGGTCCTTAATCTTGGGTACATGGATAAGTTTAGAGAATGTGTGAATACACTGAAATTATATTCAAGTTTTTGTATATTTGTGTTTTTCTGGGAGTTGGAATATAGCTTTCAATGGATTTTTGAAGGACTTTTTTTTTTTTTACCTCCGAAATGCTAAAGACTATTTAAAGTTGATTTAAAGTCCTGGCTAACTTAATTATTCCCGGTCCTATAGCTTCTATGATAATTTGTCCCATTTTTCTTACTGTTTAACTAGATTTTTTTATCCTGGTTAGTCATCATTCAGTACTAAGGAAAGGGTTACTCAGACCTAAAGCGCTGAAGTATAGGAAACACATAAGAGAAATAAGAGTTGCAAATTGAGGAAGAAGGAGCCTGCTTTAAAACAGTGCTACTGAGTAGACCTTTTGGGGATGATGGACATGTTCACTGTCTGCCCATTTTGGTAGCCACTGGCCACCAGTAGCTGTTGAGAACTTGAAATGTGACTAGTGTGAAATTTAATTGTATGTAATATTCTAAAATTGAAATCTAAATAGCAACATGTGTCTCCCACATTTGCCAGTACCACTTTAGAGGATTGCTGTACCGCTGGTAGCTGACGCAGGTTCAGAGTTTCAGCTGTAAAAGATGATGTGATTCTTGAAAATGAGCCCAATGGGTAAGACCTGTGGGCACTTCCATCTAATCATAATACTGTTATTTGCTTCTCCAGGCGTCTACACCATAAGAGCTACTCAGCATATTGCACATAGAACCTTTACTTATTTGTCAGATTCTAATCATTCTACAAAAAAATAAAATGACAACGCATATAACTTATTGGGTACTATCTTATTTTAAAATTTCAGGCTGAAATACACATAGCACAGTATTCTTAGGCACTATATTAAATTTTATCAACTGTATGATAAAGTGCAAATTAACATGCAAACAGAGTAAGTTAATGTCAACCCCCTCCTTAGTTCAGGGGAGTTGATTATTTTACTGGAAAGGATTTTTT